ATAAAATATTTCATAAAAACATTAAAATTAAATAGAGTATCTTTGAAAAAAAAAAACGTTCGTGTCTTAAGTCTTTCGTTATCATCAAGTTGCCAAGTACTTGAAACCCGAAATAATTGTTCTATTTTAAATGTTGCTCATTTGTCCAAATTAAGGGGGCTTTTCAAAATTCTTGTTTAACCAGATTTGTTGTAGATGTTTAATTTAAAATTACGTGAATCTTGTTTGATGGTCACAACCTGAACTCGGCGTTTTATTAACATACTAACACATTTTATGGTCAAATAGCTTTCGTTATGGTTTTTTTTTTTTTCATTGTTTTAATTAAAATACAAAAACGTTTTTGTTTTCTTCTCTTCTCTCTTCCAAACATTAACAAAAAATACTTTTTCTTTTTCTTCCTCCCAAAAAAAAAAAACAAACGGAAGTTCCATTTATGGTTGGCATAACATTCAAGTTTACTGTGCGGAGCCATAGCTGAACTGGCCGGGGCAGTAAAATGAAATTCTATAAATCGAGTACCGTTAATACGTGTTATTCGGTTTTTGGTTGTTTAAATTTAGATTTTGAAAATGATTGTTTTGTTATTGAAATATTTTTGGGCAGTTAAACGGCGATAATGAAAAGGGAAAGATTTCATTGAGTGAAATTGGAATTAAACTATTTAATGTGAAACTAGTCTAAAGAACTGACATCTTATTAAACTATTATCAAGAAATTATAAGCCATAATCAGAGTTTGATCAAAAGTACAATACATTTTATGTGAAATGCCATAAATTATCAAAATTGGGGCAATGACTTGATAAGTAATAATAGGGGGAAAACTCGTTTTAGTTTTGTTTATACTTTTGGTAGCTCATAGTAAGATTTAAAATAAATATTTTCACTATTTTTTTTACTTAAAAATAGAATTGTGATGAGATTCTCACAAAAAAAATCCAAAACAAATAAAAACCTGTTGAGAAACAAGTTTCTAAATATTATTATCCAAAAGAAGTTGTGACAAAATCTATTGGATGTATATCTCTGCGCAATAGTTATGAGCCGAGTATAATTTTTAATTGCCAAGGGATGTGGGAAAAAGTTCATTATCAAAAGATTTCAGCCATGAAGATGAGTTCAAGTTTTGAAGTATCTAACCGATATTTTTAAGTGAACACTTATTCAAAGTACACAAGGCTTATAAAATACCTATGTATATAGAGGGTTCAAAAGACTATATGCTGTTGATCCTGATCCAAAACAAATAAAGATTATTTCTTTTTCGTCAGATTTGGTCATTTTGGTGTATTTTGGGTTGAGTTTTATTAATATTTTAAAATATAGAGAAACTCATAGGCACCCTCAGCCAATGACGACTATTTTACCCACAAATTAACGTTTTTTTAAGCCATTCAATTTTGTGGCAGAAAAAAGTGACCCATGGTTTTTATAAAAAGTGTTTGGCACAAAAATTTGGATCAAGATTTTCAGTTACAATTCGTATCTTATATGGCACATCATCTAATTTCGATAGAGTGTGTGAAGTTCAACAATGGGTATTAATTTGAATTTTTATTCAATAAAGTCGCCAATGACCTAAGTTTCAGACAAATATTGCAATGTGGAAATTAAGACATAGTCGTAGACTCTCTTTGTCTGTGAGAAATCCAAAAATAACTTAAATTTGTGAAGATTGAAAAAAATAGGGTACTAAATTTTATGATATTTTATAATATTATTATAAAATTTGATTCGCCTTCTTTGAGGGAGATCCTGATAGACATATTTTTTATGTGCGAACTAAAAATCTAATCGCGTAATCCTTTGCTTTTAAATATATGATTGATTATTCTTGACCATATGCGCAAGTTCGATGGAAATATTATTAAAGTTTGGAATAATCCAGCGAAAGGACATTGCTAGATCGACTACATTGTCTTGAAAAAGATTTCCTACAATTTAAGCCTGTTATTATAAATCGCGTCCATGTATCTGTTAGATTGAGTGTATAACATTTTTTTTCTCTTCAGCATAGGGGGATGCAAATATTACCCAAGGGTATTACAAAAGTAAATGAAACGAATGCCGTTTTAGTAATATCAGAAAAACATGTAGAAGTTTTTAAGTCGGGCGGGACCGACCTTATGATACCCTACACCACTCTGCATTTTTAGTAGAGCTTCAAATAACAAATAAGAGTTTTTATGGGGAATTTGCGATAATTAAATCATACCAACTATGATTATAGTTATAATTTAAAGTCCAGAGGTACTACTATATATGAGAGGAATATCCTCCTCTAACTCGATTTCTACTAAATTTGACTAGGCATTTGTGACTTTTCAATTCGGGCTTGTATTACCTATTTGGTGTCCAATTAACTTGAATCGGATAAAGATATATATGGGAGCTATATCCAAATCTAAATCGATAAAATTTGGCAAAGGTATTTTTAAGCTGTATTTCATATATTTCCCCGAATATCTTTACTACGGTGTGCATATTGCGGCTGTGCAGGACAAATTCAACAAATCGAATGAACAATATATATGGGGGCTATAGCTATATCCGAACCGATTCTTACCAAATTTGACATACTTATTTTCAGACCCAATTTGGTCGTAAGTGCTGAATTCCATCCCATTTGGGCAAATATTAAACGTTTGATGCACAATAAAAAGCAAATCGGACGAAGATGTATATGGAAGCTATATTCAAATCTGAACCGATCTCAATGCAATTTAGCAAAGATATTTCTGATATGTATTTGATATATTTCTCCAAAAATATCTTTGATACAGAATGCATATTTCGGCTGCGGAGAACAAAAATGTCAAATAGGATGAACAATATATATGGGAACTATAGCTATATCTGAACCGATTTCGATCAAATTTGGCATACTGATTTTCAGGCCTATATCGATTATCTCCAATTTCAGTAGGGTTCGTCCTTGGGCCACACAAATAATTTGTTAATTTCATCTGGATCGGACAATAAATGCGACCTATACTTTGTTTACAAAAATGGACAGACAAACGGACAGGTATGTATAAATCTACTCAGAATTTGATTCTATTCAACAATGGGCCTATCTCTTTTTCTTTTGCCTGTTACAAACCCTGACCACCTTGTGGTGGAGGGTATAAAAATAGTAAATATTTTTACTATTACTTTTACCAAAATTAGATGGTGTCTCCTTCTTCTGGTGTCCCCCGCTTCTTCTGGTGTTCCCCACAGAAAAGTTTAAAATTTTGAGAAAATATGCAAATTTTGTATTGAGCGCTGGGATATACCTCTCTTGTAATATTGGAATTCAATATTCTCTTTTTTTATTCTTAGCACAAGCTAATATCTTTTATTAAGTATGAAAATTGATTATATTGGTCCATTCTTTCTGGTACCTCCCCACAAAAACTTAAAACTTTTCCAAGAAAAATTTCAAAATCTCATAATAAGAGAAGGGACCAGCCGATAAAGTTTAATATCACCTACACACCATAGTTGGAGAAGACTTAGATCAATTGCGATTTTTTCGGATTTTAATCTTTTGGCACTGTGTTCGCAACACTTTGCAGTGTTTATCTAATCGGCTCACGTTACCAAATAATGATAATAATACCCTACGATTATTGATATTTCAAAAATTTCAGCCGTAATTAAACCACAGTTCGAATTTTTGATATAACCCCCATAGCCGATAGCCGCTATCGACTGAAGGGTATATAACCTTCGTCATTCTGTTTGTAACTCATCGAAATAATAATTTTAGACCCAACAAAGTATCAGCGTAGGATTCTAAGACGATTTAGCCCTGCCCGTCTGTTGTAATCACGCTACGGTCAAAATGAATTATGATAGGAATCTAACATTTTGCACAGGTCTGTCTTTTGTCTGCAGGCAGGTCAAGTTTGAAAATGGGCTTCATCGGTCCATTATATCGTATAGCCTCCATATAACGGTACCTCCCGATATTCGGCATTTGGATGATTTTAGCCACATTTTTCAACGGAACTGTTATTTGTGAGTATTTTACCTCCAAAAATATATTTGTTTATATAGTTCAACAGTATCGCATATCCCCCATATACCGAGATCTTCCGATATGCGGTATTTTTAAGATTTTAAAAGAATTTTTAATGGACTTTACTTGAAATTTTGAAATTTTTCCTAATTCGTTCCAATTGGTGGAGGGTATTCAAAGTTCGACCCGGCCTAACTTACTGTTTTTTTTAACTTGTTAATATTCAGGTTCTCTCCTCAAAAAATGGCATTATATCACCGCCCTTTGATAATTTGTCCATTAATAATGTATTGATTTTTCAGATAAATTATGTTATAACCGATTTAGGAGACAGACACCATATTTATTATTTAAGAGAAGATTTGTATAATTTAAAAAACCTCTCATGGACATTTAACAGAAATTGTCCCAAAATTTGTAATCCTTTGAATAATGCATAAAAAATCTAATTTAATGGTTATTTTAAGCATTATTATATGCCTTCATTTAAGACCAGCATCTTAACTGGCATTTGATTTAAAACTTAAAAAAAATCCAGCATCTTTTCAAGTCTTTTGAATTTAAATGTTAAATAAAATGTTGACTCTTTTAGAAATCGACGATTTCTCAAAAAAAAAAAAAACTTTCGGACAAAAGTTTATAAAAAATCATCACAGTTTACAATTTATAAAAACGACTAAGATTGACCTTTTGTCATCCTGGCATCTAGTTACAATCAAATTGTCAAAATATACTTTTAAATCAATTGTAATTTTTTGGAAAAATATTCTTTGAAAAATATGAAAATTGGTTAGATAACCATTTCTTAAATTCCAAAGAAACCATTTTTCTGTTGAGTTCAAATTTAACGTCTTAATCCGGAAATGGTAATACTTTTTTTTTCAAAATTTGCCCCCTTCCTTATTCTATTATATTTTTTTTATTATTTATTTAGTTTGTTTTTGCATTTCATTCAAATCTGAAAATTTTTAAATATTTTTTATTATTCTTACCTGAATTATTAATTAAACAAAATAATCCAAACAGCCACAGCAGACAATAGAGATGTTTCGTTAGACCCATTGTTCTGGAATTTCTCGTTGAGGGTATTGTTGTTGTTACTCCAAAAAAATTATAAGATTTTATGTCTTGACAATGTTGTTGTTGCTGTTGTTTTTGCAATTTTGTTGTATTGCAATTGTTACAATTTTTATGCGATTTGATGTGATTTTGTAATGTTATTAAATTACAATGATTATGAAATTCTATTTTTTATTGCCACTTCTTCTTCTTCTTTTTAAACTGCTACACTACACTATTTTTTAAAGAGCTTTTGAAAACAATGAAAAGAAAATGAGAAACGAAAAAAAAAATACAAAAATTAAATGCAAACTTAAGATTTTCGCAAAAAACAACAAAATATGAGCACAGAAAATTCACAACAAAGAAAAGGAAAATAAAATAATTATTTGAAAAAAAAAAATATACAATAAAATGTGCAACTGAATGCATTAAGCGAAGAAAAAAACTATGCCTTTAGTTAAGACACTCAAAAATCCAAAAGAGAATCGGTAGCTGGCTGACTGGCGAACTATAAATTTATGGATTTTTATGATTGTGTTTTTGCCATTATTGTTTGTAGTTGTAAGGTGCTGTGTTTTTTTTTTCTTATGCTCTGTGAATTTTTTGTTTAGACTGGGGTGTTTAATTTTTTTTTCAAATTTTTCTTTGAGTTTTTTATTGAAGTCTTGAAAAATGAATGCACTTTGTAGTTTTATTAACACATTGCAAATTTATATATGTGAAGGAAAAATCATTGCACTGACTTGATTTTCGTTGCTTTAGTGATTTGAGATTTTGTGTCAATTTTTTAAGGTTCAGTAATGCCAGAAACGAAAAAACACAATCTAATTACACTTGCCTACACAGCCATTTACAATTCCAAAGTCTGAGGCAAGTGTTAATAAAAAAACAACGTTAGGCGGGATTTCAAAGACACAGACACAGGCGGCCACAAACTTGCAAAACAAAACACGAAGATGGAAATCAATTCTGTCTGCTTTGATTTTTTTCTATTTTTTTGCTTTGCACTCAAAAATTCAATTCACTTGCAGCAGAAAAATAAAACATTCATAGAAAGCAAAGATGTAAAAAAAAAACACAAAACTATGTTCACTTCAGCCTCTCAGCAGATATTTGTTTTTCTTTTGCTGTTGTTGTTATTGGAATTTTCTCCTTGTTTTTCTTTTTTTATCTTGATTAATACTAACCAACAGCAAGCCAATGAATTTGGTGTTTAAGGAAAAACTTAAACTTTCTTTTGATTTTATTCAAAAAATTATTTATTTTTTTTATTTTTGTTAAAATACCAAACAATTTTTTTATTATTCCTTATTAGGTGTTTAAAAGCAAACACATTTTTTTTCTTTGTTTTTTGTTTTTTTTTTTATTTATTACTTTTTTATCTATATATTCTTTTTTTATTATAATTTTTCTTTTTTTTTCAATTTAACGCCCAAACTAATTTTTTCCAAGTTTTCAACCGCTTTTGCGTGCTTTGCGCACGAGCACTTTTCTTAAACTGTTTTGGTATTTTGTCATAGCATAGCTGGCTGGCTGGCCTAGCCTGGCTGTTCGGCTCAAGTGTGGAACATAAACTCAAATCTGAAGCTTTGCTTTAGCTTTCGTTTACCACAAAATGCAGACATTTGTGGGCCCCAAGAAATGCAATCCAAATTGTAAAGAAATAACGTCAAAACTCACCACACTTCAGAGGTTTAATTCATTCACTTCGTTTGCCTTAACAATCTTAGAAGTTACCACTACATGTAGACGGTGGGAATTACGTGAGAGCATGCGCGCACTCAAAAGTTTTGCTATTGGTTATGTTAATACAAACAAAAGACTTAAGACACAAACGTAAGTTATCCAACTAGCCAGTCTCTTTAATTTGTGCTGAGAGCGAAGAGAACATATAGTGTAAAGAGAATTAATAACATATCTCTTTACTTGTTGCCATTATGATGTCTTACGACCAAAGATGCCATGATCGATTTTAGGATTCAATTATGTATTATTAAGTGTCTCGATTTCTCTTGTAAAGTAATTTTTATTAATAGAACAGTGTTGGCATTTTTCTTTGAGATACCGTGGTTGCAAAATAGTTAGGTTTAATCTCATAATTGTTATTTTTCTACGAACAACGTTTTTTATTAGTGGAGAGAGATGAAAACGTTTACCTGGGGGTAAGGCAGGGTATTTTGAAAAATATAACCAAAAAATATACAGGGTGAGATAAAAATACTGCAACAAAGTCAAACGCCATAATTTTTACATTTTTTTTTAAATTTTATTGAATGAATGTTAAAGAAAGACGGAAATAGCATCAAATTTTAGATTTGTTCGAATTGGTCAGCTTTGGCACGAATTATGACTTTCAAACGGTCAATGAAACCGTCACATGCTGCCCGAATGTTGCTCTAAGGTATTTTGGCCCGTTTAAGGCGAAGTTTTAGGTGATCGACACTTTGTGTATTTTTTAGTGCCAACCTTGATTTCTAAAATACTCCAGACACAATAGTCCAACGGATTAGGATCCGGAGACTTTGGTGACCATTGTGGGCTGGAAATGAAGAAAGGCAGAGCTGAGTGCAATGTTGCTGAGACCGGTTGGAATGTCCAGGTTCTGCGGCCAAAATGTTTGCGTGCCCAAGGCTGTAATACACCCTCCAGTTTATATTCGCAATAATATTCGGTATTTTTTCTGATGCCACGGTCGATCGTATGACCATCGGCTGTTATGGCGGCCGAAACCATCACCATGGCCGGCGCCTGAGTTCTGGTGGCCAACCGAAGGGGCACATTGTCAGCTGAACTCTTTGGAAAGTAAACACGATAATTTTGTTTGTTTACAAACTGCTGGACAACGTATGTTTTCTCATCGGAGAAACCCAAATTCGGCAGTTCAACACTTTCGGCCAAGCGAAGCAACTCTTTAGCTCTTTTCAGTCTATTTTCTTTCTGTTGTGGTATAAGTTCTTGCACTTTTTGGAATTTCAATTCAGTCTAGAAGCAAATACATAAAATTTGGAGAAAATCGGGTCAGATATAGCTATAGCTCCCATATATATGTTTCATCCGATTTGTTGTTTAAATCCCTCACATTCGTAATATGCAATCTACAACAATGATATTTGGTACCAGATATCTTATGGAGCTCAGAAATACCTTTGCCAAATTTTATCGTAATCGGATTGGATTTGGATATAGCTCCCATATATATCTTTATCCGATATCAAGTTTATTGTGCACCACATGGCAAATATCAGCCCAATGGGACTGATTTTTGGAACTTCCGAAGGAATTCAGCCCAGGAGCAAGTACTTTAAATTTTGGTGAAAATCGGTTCAGATATACATATATATATGTTTGATTTGGTGTTAAAGTCCCTCACGTGCGTAATATGCACTCCACTCCAATAATGCTAAATTTTATGGAGATCTGTTCAGATTTTTATATACCTTCGATATACCATTTTTATGTACCTTTGATATACACATACATCCGATTTTACGATTTTTGTGAACCATATATATAACAACCCAAACTGGATATATATCTATTGTACATATATCTATATCTTCCAGCAATTTTTTTTGTGATATAATTCTTATAGAAGTCGCATCATGCACTATACAGAAATGTTATTTGGTACTAGAGGTACAAAAGCCCCCGTCAAATTTGTTGAAAATCAATCCAAAGTTGGATATAGTTCCCAAATTGTGACTACTCTAAAGCCATGATACGTTTTTCCATAAAGTTAATATATGATATGATGTACCTCGCATATGGGAGGATATATGGGAGCTGTACGAAGGCCTAAGAAAGTCTTTTGCGAACTTCAAATACCAATTTTGTGAAAACTCTGTTGAAAATCGGAAAATATCGAAAAATACCATTATATAGGCGAAGATGTGGACCTTCACAGGTAATTTTCTATAATTTTATAATACTGAAGATTGGGAGGGGGGCTATGCGAAAATGTAAATCTGTATGGGCAATGTACCTGCCACATACTTGGGATTTTTAGGATAGCCGATTCCGTTTGTTCATTGTCTAAAGGTGGCATCCGCATATAGATAGTGCCAACTAATTACGCTATAAATTCCTCGAATCTGTACCCATCCGAACTTTGAATACACTCCACCGTTTAGAGCGAATTTGACAATTTTAAAATAAATAAAATCCGTTTATATATTAGGTTCTATATGACGACGTGGACCTGCAAAGGCAACTTTTGTCACAAGCCATTAAAATATTCAAATGCGAAATTTGAAAAAAAAAAATGTTGAATAATTTAGCTAAAATCATCAAAATACCGAATATAGGGAGGTACCATTATATGGGATCTATACCAAAACATGGACCTGCGCAGACAATTTTCTGTCTTAGGCTGTAGTATCCATTACGAACTTCAAATACCAAGTTTGAAACAATTCCGGTGAATAATGTCGCTAAAATCATAAAAATACCGAATATAGGAAGGTACCATTGTATGGCGGCTATACGAAGACGTGGTCTTGCACAGACAATTTTCTGTCTTAGGTTGTAGTATCCATTACGAACTTCAAATACCCAATTTGAAACGATTCCGGTGAATAATATCGCTAAAATCATCAAAATACCGAATATCGGGATGTACTGTTATATGGGGGCTATGCCAAAACGTGGACCTACATGGCCCAATACCAAAAGTCCTGCAGAAATTTGAATAAAATTTTATCAACCTAATTCATTTTGTTCCATTTCCACAGACAGACAGTCGGACGGACATCTCTAAATCAACCTAGAATTTTATGCTGATCAAGAATATATATACTTTGTGGGGTCTAAAATGTATGTTTCGAGGTGTTACAGACGGAATGACAAACTTAATATATTCTCCATACTGTTGTGGAGGGTATACCAGTTCGATATATTTGGTTGTATAGTTTATTCTGAATATCATAATAAATCAAAAAATGATAGACAATGTTATTTATTTATATCAGCTTCTATCTGAGTCTAATTCGCATTTATTACCCTATGACTTAGAGCCAATTTTTAAAGGGGTTTAGAAAAATCAAATTCTTTTACTGCAAATAGTAAGATTCTCTTAAAATCCATCCATTTCTCTTCATTGGCCTACACAGAGGCTACCCTCTGCAAATTCATTGCAGATCATTAAACGACCTTAGCAGAAATTACACAGAAAAAGCTTTTCTTATTCTGCCAAACCAAAGAAGTCTGCACACACGAAAGCTCTTAAAAAAAATTGTCAAGACAAAAATAGCAGCTACCAAATAAAGCGAAGCATTTGAATAAAGAAAACGGTAACATGTGTACAACCACAACCCAAAAGAGACGACCTGGTGTGGTGGACGGACGTACCTACGAACTAGCTCATTGAATAGATGACAAACACAAAATACAACAATAAGAGTTAGGCGCGTGTAATGAAAACAAGTTAACAACAAATGTTGCAGACACTCGCTGAGAAAGATAGAGCAACTGCTAGGCTAGCACACAACATACACATTCGAACATACAGAACCCCCCCAAAACGAAACGAAACAACAATCCAAAAAATTGAAAGGAAAAACAAACTATACTACCACAAAGACCTAACGATCGCGATCACAACGTTGGCTTGGCCGAGATCATTCATTAGAAGCGAAACGACAGACAACCACCAGCACCACCACCACAGCCAGAGCTACCACAACATTCTGTAGACACCTTCCATTGAGTTAAATGCCTTTTTGGAGTATCTATAACTCGCAAAGGTGGCATGGCTGTTGCCGCATTGGCATGGCATGGCATGCAACACCACACCATGGTTGGTAAGGTGGGCATTTAGAGGTTGAATAGTTTGTTTAGTTGGTTGGTCATACGGCAACAGTGTTTAAGGGTATGAGTAAAAATTATTTATATTATGGATTAAAAATATTTTTTGAAATAGATAATAACTGAAACATGGATGACAGTAATTTTAGAAGGATATTATTGGAACAACTATCGTGTCATAGAAGGGCATATGAATGGATTGGAAAATGCGATCAAGATCCGCGAACTGGATTATCTTTACATAAGAGCTATACCTAAACGTGGACCTATATTGATAATTTTTGTAATGAATATTTCTACACAATGAGACTAACGAATACCGAAATTTGGCGAAATTATATGAAAATGAGTTAAAAAGTATCTGCCGGGTTTTCCGACAGATGTATACCCTCAACCACTGTTCGTTTATTCAAATATATTTTGACTTGCGTTATGATTATTCAAACTGTTGGCCCTTTATAGGGGGTGGTTCCAAAGCAGTGGGCGAGT